ACTGTCTTGATCAACACTGTCTTGATCACTGAAATTTTTGTTGGAAAAGGTATACTGGTCACCATGCACTTTCTTCACATAGCTTGCCAACAAATTATGAGCCCAAATACAACTTTACTCTCTTTTTTGCAGACTTTCAGCACTCCCTCTAAGATGATCTTTGATACACCTATCACAGTGTTGCTCCTAATTCTCTGTTCCAGAGACAGAGTTAGCTTTCTACTCACACTAACAGCATGAGAGCAGAGGACACCTGACCTCAGGGTCATCAAAACTAAGGCAGTTCAGAGACCCAAATTCAAGTCTGCAACATATTACACAAAACAAGTAGTCTGTGAGGTTTCAGTAAGTATTTGAAATAAAAGATTTACTGCTGAGAAAATGGATAAAGGAAACCAAAGTGCACCATGAATTGTGTAAATTAGCTATGTACATGCATTATGCATGTCTTGTATGATTTATGTCCAGTTGTGCACAAATGGAAATCTTAAGGATAAATATAGCAACTGCATTAAAAGACTGCTCCTCTTTTTCAAAATCATTTGCAGTTACTACACTGAACATAATATCAGACCCAACTTTAAGCTCTTCAAGATTTCATCACTCTTTTTAATCAAAGAAAAGCTAACATTGTCACTCAGGGCTTTGTCAAGTTGATTGGATTTCTAGCCAATTCAATGATAATCCTTTAAGATCATAAAAGCAATTCTACAGTAAAAACCTCAGCAGCATCAAAACACAAAAAACACCCAAAGAGGAAAAATATCTTATTGAGAACAATAAAAAGCTGTCTGTTCATCTAAGGAAAAAAAATATTTTTAAGTCAGTTTGTATGTAGTCTGTTGTGCTACAACAGCTCCAAGCCCATCACCACAGCACTATTCATTATCTGCACATGTTCTCAATCCTCAAGTGAATTTAGCATTGCTGCTGTTATGATGATAAAGTGACGGAGGTGGGGCTATCCACCACTTGGTGTAATTGCCATGAATCTCATGAGACTGTGGAAATATATCTCTCATATCCACCTGTTTCTTTTTTGTTCTGAGATACCATTTTAAAAATGCTATTTGTAATAGTACATTATTCTTTCACTGAGCTACAAAACTGGAGATGGAAACTAATAACCTACACCCCAAATTGGAAGGTAGTTGGCTATTAATAAATAATTCTATCTTCTCATCTTATTGCTCTCTAAAGAGTGCCAAAGATTCTTCTGTTGGCATAGAGTCTCCCTGTTCACTAAACCAGTTAATCTTGCCATAGTCTGGACATCCTGACACATATATAGCCATGGAAAAACATCTAAGTTCTAAATTTTACATAATTCAACACCTCCGGCAACTGTGTTGATAACTTCCTGGTGAAAGCATTTTTGGGTTGCAATTCTTCAGGACTTACTGCAATGGAGAAGTGTTTGAAACCAGCCAAATAGACTGGATCGTTCCCAGTTTGCAGCTAATTGATGGATGTCCATGGGTTACAGGCTCCCTGAGACCAGCATGGACTCACCAGAGTTTCCTACCATTAAAACAATAATAGTAAGGAAAAGAAAAAACAGACTTCCTACTATGTTGTATACCTGTTAAGGGCACAAACATTAATCAAGGAAACAACAGCTAAGCAAACTAGACTGCTGGTTGAATGGAACTGCTCAAGAAAAAAAGACGTAAGGCTTTAAAATAAGTTGTCACTGGAACTTGTATTTCTTTCCTTCTCTTTTTGCAATTTCTGACTGGCTTGATTTGGTACTAAAACTTAGCTATGAAATTACTTCCTCATGCTTGCAAAAGACAGCCAACCATAAGTGAATACGAAAATGGTTTCCCTATCACATTCTGCACTGGCCGAACAGGAATTGCAAACAAGAAATTCCAGCTAGCAGGAAGATGATCCAGTGGTAGAAAGCTTCTGAAAGGAGCACACAGTCCTGAAGCATCTGTACCTTGTGATGGTGATGAGCCAAAAAGTGCAGACTGCTATGAAATAATGGCATTAATTTCATACCTGTGACATGATTGTAGTAGCTATTGGCAGCTGAGTTACCTTGAGTTAGATTTTTCTGTCTGTGTGTATATTCTGGGTTTGTGCTAAGCCCCAGTACACCTATACATGACATGTATAGGCAAATGTACATATGCATGGTTTTCTTCTGTTCCACTTGTCATTCCTTCTGACGATCTACTTCCCGGCAATGCAGTACAACGTTTGCAGAAACAAAAAGTCTGCTATGTTACTCTTGCAGATAACAATGTCTGCACTCTGACAGAAATATTTAGAAAAGCAGCACAAGCAGCAGCCCTGTCATTTTGTCAGCACTGTCTTGAATTAATTCCTTGCCACACTAAATCAAAACTAGCTTACCCTAGGATTCTTTCAGAACTAAAAATAACAATGAAAAACTCTCAAATACTGGAAAAGTCCCTATTAGAAATGGATACATTCTCTTCATAGATTAACTTTGTACTTGACCATAGCTTGATGTATTGAAGCTTGCCAGTCAAGTTCAGCCATACTGAAATCTTCCAGCTTGCACTTTTCATCCACTAATGTCTCTTAAAACCATTATAGAGTGGCATGGCTTTGATACACACTGTCAGGCAAAACTACCATACCATCCCTAACCATGGCTGACATATCTGTCACTTACTTGATTTGAGAATTAAAAAAAGAGTTGTACTACTGGCACAAACGTGTGCATAGCACATTCTACGTCCAGAAACAAGTGCTGCTTTCCTTGAGTTACTTTTTCAAATACTTTTTGTCACCATTTAGCACTGTTCTCCATCAATCCAAATTTAAATCTTATTTCTTGGAAAAGCTGTAGAAATGGATTGAAAATAGAACCTCACCTACCTATTAACTGCCAAAAAAACGGTCATGTCAGAGTCATCTTACACCATTATTAAATATCATGACAATTAACTTTCACTTTGGGGTATTTACCTACAACAACATGAAATACAAGTTTAGCCAGAGAACTCTGTAAGCACAAGATGTCACCACAGCCTTACATCTTATACAACAGCTGCATTAAGTTCACTCATAATTAAAGAACATTAAGAGACTATAAACCTCCGAAGATTATATAAATATCCTCACAAGAGATATGAGAAAGGTATTAGATTAAAAAAATCTGGTTATCAGATTGAAGCATGGGTTAGTCCTTAAATAAAACAAATACCAAGTAGCTAGTGCCATTTCTTTTTAGATTACTGACATTAACCTGTCTTTCTCAAAATTCATGACAATTCAGCTTGTATCTCATATAATGCTACCAAGTATAAATGTTATTAATTCACTGACCAAGGCTGTCTTTGCTCCCTATAGCGGCCAGTAAGCATAAAGTATTTAAATTCACATCAATTCTGCTTCAGAAAATTGCCTGAAGAGAGTTATCACATATATTTAGTTAAACTGAAAGGATAACCAGTTGAACAATTCTGGTTATGATAAAAACGTTCATATGCTTGTCCCAGTAAGAATTTTGGTTGTTTTGCCTATAATAGTCTAGCTTCAGTGAGCACGGAATTCACTTTTTGAAGTCAGGAACAGTACAAAACTTAATGTTTCCTCTTGTTAATCTGTTCCATCACCTCTCTGCATTTCTTTTCAAGCCAGCTCACCCACTTTATCACAATCCTCAGCAGACATGGAATATCTACTCAACAGCATCTACTACTTGTGCTGCTCCATTACCGTGACTCTTCTTTGAGCCTCCTAACACTTCCATCACCAACCTGTCCATCTGGCATTTTCTAAGCCCAGAATAAAGTGTTTTGTTTGTCTTACAAACAATATATGTGCAAAGTTAGTCCCAGAAGTTTGACATGAAAAATGAAAACCAAATCCCTCCATCTTTCTTGCTTTCGTATAGATTTTAACTAGGCTTACAGTGTTAGGTGGATCTATGAGAGAGGAAGGTGCAATTTCAAAAATCCTGCATATAAAAAGGATCAGTGAGATATATACATAAATTGGCTGCCCAAGAGGCTAAAGTGTTTAAAGCTACCAAATTACACCTTTTATTCTTGATTCTTTTATTTCTTTTATTTGTTCCTAACATAACACATATTTTTAACATTCAGCCTTTTAATGCATTATAAAACTAGGTATAAAAAGGCATCTAAAAATTAAAACATTAGCATTAATGTGCTGTGACAAACAAGCATGCATTCTAAGAGAAAAAAAATCTAAAAATTGGACTTGTTTTACTGACACGCAGTTATCTCACTTTAAAATATATACAGATATATTTTATTTCTCCCTCTTTCCCATTCTTTTCCCCTATAAATTTTTGACATTTGCTCCAGGATGTTTAACATTGTACAAAAAGCCAACAACAATTCCAGTTTCTAGTATTCCTTCTCTTATATGACTGAAGATTTTTCTCTAAGCATCCCACACGTAAATGTAATAGAATATAAAAGTATGAATCTTATCTGTGGTGTGAATTCATCCTCTTGCCTATATTGAGGCACCTGGTTTAAGCCACTCATTTTGGCTTCCTGCACAACCACTGCTAAAAGACAAGTATCTTCAGGAAGTGGTTAAACTTACCTGTCTTAGGATAACCAGAGAAACCCTCCCTCTCCATTGAAGCACAGCTGGCTCAGATGCCATGCTTAAGTTTCAATGTTCAAATTAGGAGAGATGAATCTCACCTGAAAAAACCCATGGACACATACATTTGCCTGTACACCAAGAAGTATGTTTGTGCTTAAAGTTGGCTTATGCACACAGCCAGAGAAAACTAAATCAAGTTGCACAGCTGCCAACAACTATTCTAAAGAATATCTAGTTTACAAAATAGAATTTGTGTATATTTACATAATCTTTTTTTCTTCTTTTCTTTAAAACACATAGAAAACAGCTGTTCTTCAAGTAAACAGGAAAAAATACTCAGTACCCTTTAACAGGAAGGTAGATTAAAAATCTCTGCCTTGGTTAGCATTGACATAATTCCACAAGCAGTTTATAAATACTGAAAAGAAACGTACCTGGCATCAATTCAGCAGTAGGGAATATCTTCTCCTGCTTCATTTTACTTTCATGTAGTAACTCTTCTTTGGTTATTGGCAGATCTAGAACATCTCGAATAATCTGTGCCCCTTCTAGTGCTTTTTTACCCATGACCAATGATTTCACATCCCAGGTATACTTCTTTCCAAAACGCCCACAGATCTCTTCAAATACCATTGTATAGAGACGCTCAGTATCTGCCAAAAAATAATGATAATAAAAAAGATTTCAAACACATGCAGCCACCTTACAAAGAGGAAGGCATAAATGGTCACACAGCAATCTGCCAGAAACAAGAGGGCATATCCAAATGGACAAAATTGCCTCCCTTTAATCAACAAGGAGAAGGCAGACTTCAAACATCACCTCAGAGATACCTAGGTTTTTCAAGCTGTCACACCTGCATTCAGAAAAGGTTTCTGAGGGTCACAACAAAGAACTATCTGGACCTGTTCTTCTATCAACTTTCTTTCCCACTGGCACTCTACTATACAGGTCAGCAGGCAATGTCTTAATTAAAATACTCTTTATTCTTTGTATAACAAGAAAAGAAGGGAAGGAAATTTGGTACTCAGGGATGTCATTACATATTCCATGTAAATTGAAAAGAAATTAATTAACTATTTAAGAGTGTCTATGAACGGAAGCTTCAGAGTGCCTTCAAAAGACACTACAGTCATTATTACAGCGTTGCTGGCACTTCTGCATTTACATGTGATTACTGAAGCAGAACACCCCCGCTTGTATTTCCAGAGGGGTTCTGGCAAGAATAAACTTCAGGCTGAGTTTTGCCAGTGAAACTATCAGTTTCACTGTGAAAGGTGCTTTCAGTTTCCAAACTCATTTGTTTTTAAAAAATGACAGCAAACAATCCTTTCTGTCTTCCCACAAAACAAATCATTGAAAAAGAAGGTCAATAACATTTAATTTAAAACCAAATGGAGGAAGAAAAGTCCTTTCAACACTTGGTTTCACTTGAGCAAAGATCCTGAACGGTGGCTTTTCTACCAGTCTGTTTATCTTTTTGAGTGGCCTCCTTTGATACAAAGCAACTGTTGTTAACCATCCTTTAATTTCCTTCTCATGCATTTCTTTGCTTTCTGTATCTCTAAAGGTATGCTTATTATTATTATCACTTAAACAATGAAAGACAAAGGCAAGAAAAGAAAGGAACTGCACTTATGAGATTTGTTTAGAGAGATCAGGGACTTCACTTGTCTTCATGTCCTTTGCCATGTAAAAATATCATAATAGGGAAAATAAAATAGTGAAATTGTTCTTGAGCACGTTGACTTACTTTCTGAATACATAACAAGTAGGCAACAGAACTTGAATTGTAAGCTTTAACATCGATACTATGAAAAGGACAGAGCGAAGAAAGAAAAGCAGAGCACATGACTACAATACACCCAAAGATCTTCCTCTGCAGTCTGACAAAATGCACACTGCTTAACCACAGTAATCTGCTTCTCCTGAGATCAGCAGATGGTTCCGATCTGAAATGAAATGGGAAACATCATCACACGTATCATCGTGTGAGCACACAAAGTGCCGAAGACACGCTCTACCACCTGCCAGAACACTCCCTCCATTTCCCCTTCAGGAGGGATGCTGAGCCAAAGGAGCAGCAAGAGAACTAACACACCTGCCTGGGATGCTTAACAGGGCAGCGAACATTTCACAAAAGCCTCTTTGCTTAAAAATGAGAGAAAAATAACAATAGGACCTATACAAGTGTATGCAAATGCTTCTCAAACAGCTACACCTACTGAAAAAATGTCAGGAGTAACCTGAGAGCCATGAAACACATGAAATGTACCACTGCATCATTCTGAATCAGAAGAGACACAAGTGACTTGGCTTTGAAAACTGCTAAGCCGGCTAGCACCAGGAAGAAAAAAACAACCAACTGCTTGCTTGACACTGCCAGGTGGTACTCTCAGCAAGCTGAGACGGTTAGTTAAGAATATAATACTTAAAAATTCACAGTTCTCTCTTTCCTTTTTTCTGATGCATTGATTTTCCTTCACCAGGTGAAGAACATAAAACTCTGACCCTAAACTGTAAATTGAAACTGAAAATTAACCCTCATCCTATTAAACATTATATATCAAACTAAGTAGAAATAAAACAAAACAAGGGAATGAAAAAAATAATTGTAGAACATGAACATTTTCCTATAGATTTGTACAATTATTACATTAACCTATTTGAAAGTGAATGACTCAACTCTATAGCTACTTAATTTAATAGCCTCCTGCATTTTAAATATCAGATACCAGATTTGTGAACTGAATTCTTTTTCTTCAAAAAAAAAAAGGCTTAACACTGTCCAGATTGCTGACCTAAAAATAATGGTATGCAGTTTGAAGACTGAAGAGCACTCATGACCAGCTTTGAGTCAAATATATTAAAATAATTAATTCTTATCCTAATTGTATTGTGTTAGAATGAAGTTCTCTCAACTCTGATCAAAGTGTTATATAAAAATAAGCAAAATCTGGCCAACACACAAATAATCAGTGGATATATTTAATTTAAATGTGAGCTAGTCTCACTTATTGCTCATGTGCTTAAAGCAACATAAATGCTCAAACAAGCAAATTCTCAGAAAGACTTCCTTTTCTTCCCTTTCCTTATTTTACTTGCTCAAACAGACATGTTCTACTACAGCACATGAATAAAACCTGAAATCTGGAAACTACATCCACACTAACACACACGCTGCTTAACCACCAATCAGAATCTGAGGAAACCACTTCTGGAAAAGACACACTTCCTGCTGCATACATTTAACAGATCATGACAAACAGTCTTTTTGATTGAGGAAACCAAAATCTGTACGTCCACCCTATAAATAGACAGCAGTAACTAAACACAATTCAAGACTTCTCATTCCCATTCAAATAGAGGAACATCAAAAAACTGGTTAACAAAATGTGAGGCAACACTACAGAGGACAGGCAGGTCCTTCAGGGATCCTTGGCAGAATGAGGACTGGCCACAGGGTTGTGATTATATCTGGAGTTTTATTATTACGTAAAACTAAACTAACAATCAGCATAGCTTATTATCTACAATTTCTAGCTCTTAGCTTAGCATATAGTTACACAGAATTTCCAAGTTCTCATTTACACAGGGTTTTCAGCCACCTGGATGGACCCTCTACAGATCAGGTCAAATTCTTATCAACCAGCGCATGACAATCACAAGCAAGACTTGGAGCTTTCATGAAAGATCACAAGTCACTAATTCAGTCCCCAGAGGCAGAAGACAATGGTGGAGGCCACCGGGACCACAGGTTTTGCTGCCTTCCAGCAGTTCTGATCTAAGTCCCACCCAGTGCTTGTAGCTGTTTGTATTTACAGCCAGTGCTCTCTGTGCTGTCACATTTCCCTCTTCCAGGATGGTCTCACTGCATACTGGTGATCCAACAGCTGGGTATTAATAATGTTGATGGGCTTCACCACCCTCTCAGTGGGTGTCCCCCATGCTCTCTTGGTGACCCAGCACCTGGGTCTTGATATCACTAATGCCCTTAGCACCCTGACAGTGGGTGTCCTCACAGCCTGGGGCCAGAGAGGGGGAAAGGGAATGAGGCAGGGGTATACATTAACAGACTGCTTACATATTGTGGATATTTGCCTTATTGCTGGTTATGCTAACCATCCTGCCAGGGGTCAGCAGCTGGGGGTACCAGTCACATAAACACAAGATAAGCTAGTTTCTTCCCCCATTGTAACATAAAATAATCTATAAGACGTCTGATTAATCAGAGTTTAAGTACAGAAAGCAATCATAATTTCAAATTACTGCAAATCTGCAACACAGTTAGAAATCTAATGCACACAGATAGATACAAAACATCAATAAAATAAAACAACCAAGAGGAATTAGAAATTCAGTTAAAGTGCCTACTAGTAAGTATCTTAGACACCTTAGTATGTCCAAGCCATCCACTGATACTAAAAAAGGAACATTGGCAAGACTCGCACCTGACTAAAAGAGCAACTGGAGGCTTAGCCAGATGCCTACAGCATCCCAAATGGTAGTAAACATACACATTTAAGCAAGTGAATCTGGCCCCAACTGCTAGCTCCCATCAGGAATATTTGTTGAGAAAACAGCAGGACACATGTGGCAGTGGTCTGTTCCGACAGAAGGTAGAAAAATCGAGACTTTTTAGGCCCTGCAACTTGCAGTAAATGTATAACCTCAGCTTTATTCCCTTCTGCTTTTCAAAATACTTTTCATCTTTCCATTTCTCATCCCTTGGTGTACCTTTTACAGGACATCATCAGCATGACTTACCGTCCATCCACTTGCTACATTTCACTGGGAACGAGTGACATTCATTCTCTAGCCACATATCATCTTGTAGTCATTTTTATAGCAATCTTTCCTATACAGAAAGCACAGGCAGCCCCACTGGTGCTGTTTACAGTGTGTAAGAGCCAATCACAATAAATACAAATAAGGTGACAAGAATGACAGAGGCACTGGATTGCTCAACTTATGATCCGGCATAAAAATATGCTGGCGCACATTCAAAAAAGCCTACAGGTCAGTTGGCAGCGGAGCACAGTGCAAAACTTGAGTGTATGATCTGTTCACATCACTGAGGGTCAGAATTAGAAGTGCAGATCTACCTAGGTTAGAGGTATAGCAGTCATCAATCAATTCAGTACATAAACCACAGCTTTATCAACTGCTTACCTACACAAGAAGATGGCTTAAAACAGAAGATAACAACTTCGTGTCACGGTTTAGCCCTGGCAGGTAGCTGAGCACCACACAGCCACTCACTCCCCTGGTAGGACCAGGGGAAAGGACCAGACAAGTGTGAGAACTCCCGGGTTGAGATAAGGACAGCTTACAAGTTAAAGCGAAAGCCACACACGCAAACAAGGCAAGACAAGGAATTTATTTGCTACTTCCCATCAGCAGGCAGGGGTTCAGCCATTCCCAGAAAAGCAGGGCTCAGCATGTGCAATGGTTTCTTGGGAAGGCAAACGCCATCACTCTCATCATCCCCTCCTTCCTCTTCTTTTACAACAGCTTTTATTGCTGAGCATGTTGCCATATGGTATGGGACATCTATCTGGCCAGTCTGGACCAGCTGTCCTGGCTGTGTTCCCCCCCAGCTCCTGGTGCACCCCAGCCTCCTCGCTGGAAGGACAGCATGAGAAGCTGAAAA